TTTTAAATATAATTCATTCAGTGCTTTTGATTCTGTTTTGATTATCACTTCCTGATATTAATACTTCCACAAAGATATGGAGATGGTGAGTTCATGAATTCAAAATAGTTTATTGGCAGCAATAAAGCAATTTTAAAATAATTTTATTTTTATGTAATTTTATGTAATTTTTGCGGGATTTATTTTTTGCTATGCTCAAAAGATACTAATTGATAGAATAAATGATGATTCTTAAATACATGGGAGATAAAGGATGATGTTTCTTATTTGTGAAGATCTTACAATCAAGTTGAAGAAAATAAAAGGGGAGACAGGAGATAAATGGGATAGTTTGGGTTCATGCATCACTCTAAGTCAGAGGTCTCCAAAGTTGGCAACTTTACGAGTTTTGGGTTTTGACTCCCAGAATTCCTTAGCCAGCTATGCTAGCTGGGGGATTCTGGGAGTTAATGTCTACAAGTCTTAAAGTTGTCAAGTTTGGAGACCCTTGTTCTAAGTCATATCATGGCATGTTTGGATTTGGATTAGTATGCCCTGTCAACCTAGCCCTTATAGTTTGTAAACATAATTTATGGCTTAGCATGTTGTAAAAATCCAGCCAACAGTACCTTATTCAGTAAAGTCTAGTTATAACATACCATGGCTTAGCCTTAGAGCAATCTGTTAACCTTCTCAATATGAAAATACTCCAAGTCCTGTCATGCCACATTTTCTAACCCACTTCTGAATGCCCATTGCATTCTTAATTTGTTTTCTAAGGATGTGATCAGACTGGATACATTAACATTGAAGTTCCATGCAGGTAAGGAAGTATGTTAGGGAAGTGTCATGGGGCACTCTTTAATCCTTCATATTTGTAAGATACTGTGGCAGAAATTGTTTCTACAATTAAAAATTGATGGCATTTAATGTGAAGCAGTGAGGATACTGTGGGCTGCAAATTGTCTGTGAATGTTCAGAATATACTTTAAAAAAAATATTAAGTTTAGAAGGTGAATTCTGGACCATACCTTCTTTGAAGCTCTTTTATTCGGACCATTAAGTTGAGATGACCCTGAGAATATTGTTCTATCACATCACGTACATCATAAGGTTTTCTAGCTTGCTGTGAAAACAGAAAATAATAACTATAAAAACATTTCAAAGCTCATTATAGCATGCCACATTTATGTAGCTATCAGTTAAAATAAGGAAAAATAGAAAGTTAGCCTTTTCATTTTCACAGCTTTTTCATATAATTTTAAGTAATAAAGATAAGGACTAATGGGTATAATTCAGGTTCTTTGTTAAAATGTTTATTCCTTGAGTTTTAGTGATATACCTAGATGACGGCTGGACATTGCAGAAAGGACTTTTCATGAGTTAAGGAACTAGTTTGTTAAATATTCTGCCCTAATGTATTTAGAGCACTGAAGATAAAAGATTAGGCCTAGAAACAAACTGGAAATCAGTGAAGTTGGTTTAAAAACTGGTCTTTTTTTGTTATTGGTTATAAAGTTGTGAGAGTGATGATAATTTACTTAGTGGTCTCACCATCTCTGATATATTACATATTCTCCACTTATCATCTTGCCCCATAAAAAGCACCGTATTGATAACAGCCTGCTGTAAGTCTCTCCCTCTCCCTCTTCCCCTCCCTCCCTTCCTGTCTCTCTGCAAATCTCTGTTGACTTATTTTTATGCTGTATATTGTGTTCCATTAATCTGCACATCTATTATAACATGGTAAAGCAGAGATTTTCATAATTTGAGTAGTTTATATTAATTCAACTCAGTAGTATTCAAGTATTTGGAATAAACCTGAATATGATGTACAGTATTGTTGTTCAGTACACTTTGATAATTTTACAAATGTTAAGAAAAATTTATCCATCTACTTTTAAAATGAATGGCTTCGCGTAACATACTAAAATTAGGAGATGATACTAATCTATATAACAACCTCTTTTAAAATTACTGAATGTTAAAGTGGCCTCACAGTTTTATATGCTAGAAGGCAGCAGAATGTATGCATCTGGGAAAATAGTAATCACTCTGCTCCAAACTGGTAACAGATTGCATCATATAATTTAATAGCTAAAGTTATAATAAATTAGACTGGACCCCAGAGTGATCCCTGTTTAGATAAAATAGTGTCCTGCTTTTCTCCTCTTACCATGGCATGTGGATATAGACACCCAAGCAACAAACTATCCGAAAATGAATAATCTGAGATCAATCTGCAGATCAATGAATATTCTATTTATGCCTGAAGAATATTTATTTCTATTTTATTCTTTTCCATGTATCTTATCAGCAGGTTTTGTTTTCATTTTTAAGACTTCTGTTGTAAAGATTTAGTATTCATTTCCATAGTGTGCATATTTTTGAATGAAAGAATGCCAGATGATTTTGGGGGAACAATGCTAGTGGGTATTCCTAGGTGGAGGATCTTTACTACTTTGAAATAAAACATTAAAACAAACCGTGATTAGATACTTTTATATCTCTGTTCACATCTGATTTCCTTGTTTTTTCTGTTCTCAGAACCAAGTTTGAAAGTTAAATATAATTATACAACTATCATGCAACCATTTTAATTAAGATCATCAGGAGTTAAGTTTTAGTTATTTTAAAAAGGCAATCTGTATATTAACAAACCAAGTACAATTGAAAATTGGAAGCATTATCAGGCCAAATTTCCACTTGTTTCGGGTATAAAGGTAATAGTACTTCACATGAAATTTAATCACTGTGGCCAACCTTATAGAGTCTTATAATTCTAAGCGGGAGTACAATTGCTCAATGGTTAAAAAAGGCAGAGCTTATCAGTTGGCAGCCCGGGTCCAAGACCCAAGCACCATGTGACGGGGTGCTCTCCCGTTACTTGCCCCAGTTCCTGTCCACCTAACAATTTGAAAGCCTGCAAATACAAGTAGATAAATAGGCACCACTTCAATGGGAATGTAACAGGGTTCTGTGAGCCTCAGTGTATATAGTCAGTGTTTACTTAAGTATTTTATTTAGTTGGGCTTATACATAGATTAACAAAACAGGGCAATGATGATGTTCAACAAGGTACCGTTTTCTGCGTAACATGAGGAAGACTCTTGCAGAAGGCATACTAGAGAACAGCACACTCTGTCTTTCTCTATCCTTTCATGCTGAGGCACGCTATTCTTCTCCAAAGTTTCCCTCAGAGTCAAAATGGAAAAGCAAAAAGGGAAGTACCAGCTGCAGGAAGTTTTGAGTAGTATAGCCAAACAATGGTCAAGTCCAAGCGTGTGTAACATTCTTTGAAGTACAAAGAACTTTGAACTATTTTGTTTGCCAGAAAGCCCTCTGAAGTGATTACAGAAAATTGCATACACAGTTCTTGATTGATAGCAAGGTAACTGAATTACGTATAAAACACTGCCCAGTTTGTGGTGACACTTTGAAATCTAAAGCTATAAATACATCAAGAGTGTCTGGTGACATCACTGAAAGCCACAACAAACACTGTTATTACTGGGGCCCTAAACTTGTACAGCAGCTTTTATTATTTATTTTAGTAACTATTCTAGTGGTTGTGTCCTGCTTGTAGATATCCCAGAGATATCCGGTTTATTACTGCAGGAAGCAGGATGCTACATTTGATGGACCTTTGGTTTGATGGGATATAGTTCTTCTTACATTCTTAAATAAATATTTATTAAAGAAGTAACTAACCATACTATAAAAATATTAGACTGTAAATATACTATGAGAGTTTCCCCCAACCTGTTGCCTTCAAGAAACATTGCATTAAAGCAGGATGTTCTGAAGTTACTATCTAAAATATCTGAAATGTTGCTCTCTAAATTGAAGAAACTGCTCTATTATTATATTATATATAACATATATAATATATATTATTATAACTGCTCATATTAAATTGACCCTAAATGAATGTACAACTGAACCCATACATGCAACCTTCTACAATGCTGTTACAAATCTGGGACTGGAACAACAAGTAACCAACAATACTAGACTTAACAACTGCCTTGATCTCATCTTTTGCAATAGTTTGAATTTAATTTATGGAATACAAACTAAAGAACCCTTTTCCAACAGTGACCACAGCATGATTGACTTTTGTCTCAACATACGCCCACACAAAACTCATCACAATGACGGAATCCCCAATTATAACTTCAAAAAAAGGCAACTATGATCTTATAGACAACGATGTCTCATCCCTTGATTGGCAATCTCTATTCACTGGATGCAATACTGTTGAAGACCATTACCACATATTTTTACTTGAAGTCAAAAGAGTCATCAAACTATATGTACCAATAACAACTCCCAAAACCAGAAAAAACAAATTACCCAAAACAATAAGGAAGCTTCAATCCAAAAAGAGATCACTCTGGCGGAAAAACAAATCTGGTCACGTTGCCAACTTCAAAAGCTGATACAAAAGCTGATACCAGATAAAGACTGAATGCACCAATTATCACATCAAACAAGAGGAAATCTAAAACCATCTCTATCTATTGGACCGGACGGAATATGTGCCTACTTCTTAAAAATGTTATCCACTGCCGTAGCAGAACCTCTAAGCATAATCTTTGAAAAATCTTTCAGGACCAGCTCCTTGCCAAAACTATGGTCACAAGCCACAGTCATCTCCATCTTCAAAAAGGGAGACCCTAGCCTAGTTGAAAATTACAGACCAATCTCCTTATGCTGTGTCACCTGTAAAGTCATGGAATCAATTATTAACCAATCCATTATCCTCCACTTAGAGACAAACAACCTACTCTCTAATAAACAATTTGGTTTCAGAAAAACACTATCCTGTAATCTGCAACTCTTACACTGCAAAAACATATGGACTATAAAACTCGATCAGCGCAAAACAATAGACACAATCTACATAGACTTCTGTAAAGCCTTTGATTCAGTGGTACACAACAAACTACTCCTAAAACTAAAATCTTATGGTATCTCTGGACAACTGCATAACTGGATAGAAGCATTCCTGTCAAACAGACAACAAATGGTCAAAATTGGGAGCGTCCTATCAAATTCTGCACCTGTCAATAGAGGTGTCCCCCAAGGCAGTGTTCTAGGACCAACTCTCTTCATACTCTACATAAATGATCTCTGTGATCACATTAAGAGCAACTGCGTTCTCTTCGCTGATGATGTAAAGCTGTTCAATACCACAGACAATACTGCTACCCTTCAAAAAGATCTTGACTATGTATCAGAATGGTCAAACAAATGGAAACTTCAAATCTCAACAAATAAATGTTCTGTCTTACATATTGGCAAAAAAAATATCAGAAAATAAAATACAAGCTGAATAGTCAAGACCTTGTTGATGATCCAAACTCTGTCAAGGACCTTGGAATATTCATCTCTGATGATCTAAGTGCTAGAGCCCACTGTAACTACATAGCCAAAAAGGCATTAAGAGTTGTTAACCTAATCCTACGTAGCTTTTTCTCTGGTAATATCACACTACTAACTAGAGCATACAAAACATTTGCTAGACCAATACTCGAATACAGCTCATCAGTCTGGAACCCACATTACGTATCTGATATTAGCACAGTTGAGAAAGTCCATAAATATTTCACAAGAAGAGTTCTCCACTCCTCTACTCGTTGTAGAATACCTTATGCCACCAGTCTTGAAATTCTAGACTTAGAAAACCTTGAATTACGCCATCTTCAGTCTGATCTAAGTATGGTATATAAAATCATACATTGCAATGTCCTACCTGTCAATGAATGCTTCAGCTTCAACCATAACAACACAAGAGCACACAATAGATACAAACTCAAGGTTAATCGCACCAAACTTGATTGCAGGAAATACAACTTCAGCAACAGAGTGGTCAATGTCTGGAATACTCTACCTGACTCTGTGGTTTCTTCCCCAAACCCCAAAAACTTTAACCTTAGACTGTCTACTATTGACCTCACCCCTTTCCTAAGAGGACTGTAGGGGGCGTGCATAAGCGCACCAACGTGCCTACCGTCCCTGTCCTATTATTTCTTTTATTTTTCTTATATGTATCCATTTCATGTATTCATAACTATGTTTTGACTTATACCTATTATTTTGTGAGCGATTGACAAATCAAACCAAATAAAAGTAAATAAATAAAATAAAATGAGGATTGCAGAATATTCCAAGATTTTGGAGTTCTGTGCTCCCTGCTTCTTGATAGTCCTCTCTTTCAAACATTTGGCAAATGTTTTCATAAATGAAAGGCAACATATCAGTGTTAAAATATGAATGCGGTTTGCTTATGGAATGGGTGTATAACGTGGTTAATTGTCTATGCAAAGATTGTAGGCATGGCTGATGATTGGAAGAATGCCATTATTACTCCATTACAAAAACAGAATGTTAACAAGAGAGAATGCAAAACTGCAGGAGGATTAATTTATCAAGTACATGGCTGAATTCTGGTCAAAAGCATGTAAGACATGACTGTGAAAAAAACTTTTGGTAAATATAGCACAGCTTTATTTGAACTTTAGCAAAGCCTTAGCCTCCTTATGTGAATGTGACAAAGTTTTAATGTATGCCTGTTGATTTATAAAAAGCATAAGATAAGAGATTTGAAATATGAAATATTCTGCATGAATACAGACTTGAAGGATGTTTGTGAATGAGATAAAAATGCTATATGAGGAAAGTAAAACATACGTGACAACAAATGGAATGCTTAGGGAATAGTTCAACTTGAAACACTGACAAAGGCAAGGATGTGTGGTGTCCATGGGCTCCTTAATGCATTTCTATATAGATGAACAAGGAAAGCTTGTTATGATGTATGCTAATAGGGGATAAGAAGGCAAGTGAACTTTTTATGCAGACAGTGGTGTATATAGAATAGAATAACAGAGTTGGAAGGGACCTTGGAGGTCTTCTAGTCCAACCTCCTGCCTAGGTCGGAAACTCTACACCACTTCAGACAAATGGTTATCCAACATCTTTTTAAAAACTTCCAGTGTTGGAGCAATTCACAACTTTTGAAGGCAAGTTGTTCTACTGATTAATTGTTCTAACTGTCAGGAAATTTCTCCTTAGTTCTAGGTTGCTTCTCTCCTTGATTAGTTTCTACCCATTGCTTCTTGTCCTGCCCTTATGTTTATTGAAACAAGTGGAAAAAGGTATGTATAGGAATATTATAAATGTATAAAAGTTATTTGGAGTAGAAAAAAAACAGGAGAAATGCTCAAATGGAGAGAAAGCAGATTAAAAATGGTCTGAACACAGAAGTGAATGCCCTGTGCAAAAGAAATACATTTGAGTGGCTTGGTCATATGAAGAAAACCAAGCAGGACTGAACTGGAAAACAAATATGAAGGTTTTGGAGGAAAGAGCAAAAAAGGTATAGTTGGACAGAATTCATGAGTTCGTCAACAAGAGAAAGATGAGAAATTCAAAGAACAAAAGACAATCTATTAATAAGATTTAGTGGATATCTAAGGATAGAGCAGTAGAGTAAACAGTGTTGATATAAACTGGTTTTAGTTAATTTTTTTTCCCCTTACCTTGCCATTTATTATTTTGTGCATTACTTTATATTATTTTGTGTACTTTGCATAATGTTGTTTATCCCATAAAGAAATAACACAATAGGTAGATATTTATATAGTACTTGTAAGGTGATTCTTTGGAATTCTACAGCTCCTTGAACACTTGTCACTATTTTTGATTACAGATAGGTCTCATTTTGTGGATGAGATGTGGAAAAAAAAATTCTGGTAGTCATTAGAGAAGAGGTATTTTAATAATTTTTTTACCGGTTCCAAATTCCATTTCTCAGTTGTACTGATTGCACAGCTTTACATGATCTATTTTGCTCAATTAAATCAATAAAAAATTAAAGTTTGGCATTTGTGTAAGAAAGCACTTGATGACATTGATCTTGTAGTAGAACTAGTAGCATGGCTCTTCTTCCCAACTCTTCCTCTGATGAAGCCAGACAGAGGGAAATAAATTACTTTACCGGTCCTGATAATACCATTCATTCCCTTCCCCAGTAAACTGAAGCATGCTCTAAGGCTGCAGCTGTAGAGAAATGAATGGCTATGCAAATTGCTCTGTTAAGTTTTCTTCTCTCTATGCTCTTTCCAATCAATGATGATATTATTATTAACCAGTTTTGTCAATTTACCATTATCTTGATTAAAATTTGCTTTGTAATTTCAAAAACAAAAACCTAAATTCCCTGAGCTGAAGAAGCTTCTTTGGATGAAAAGCAGAGTGTCTTCAAAGAAAAACCAGAAAGTCCAGTTGCTTCTTGAAAAAGCACCTTTGGGACCACCGTGACCTGGATGACTGAGAATCTCTATAGTCCCTAAGTTCCAGAGGTGGTATTCAGCAGGTTCTGACCAGTTCTGGAAGCAGAAATGTTGAGTAGTTCAGAGAACTGGCAAATACCACCTCTGACTGGAGATTTTACAGTACCCTTCCCCTGCCACGCCCCCTAAGCCACACCCACAGAATTGGTAGTAAACATTTTTGAATCCCACCACTGCTAAATTCCCTGTTGTAGGAAGGCAAATATAGTCGAAATTTCTGTAAATTATCAAATGTGATTTCTGAGGATTCAATACAACTTTATCATAATCACAATAGTAAAATGGGGTGCCTATTTCTTCTTAATTATTAAGAAGCATACATATTTTTATAAGGATTTATAAGATCTTTATCAGATTAAAGACTCCTACACTTTTTATTGAAAACTTTCTTTAGTCATGATTTGTGATTGCTCTGAGTCCCTAGGAGCATGAGGAAATACTCATATAAAGAATTATACCTGTGAACACATAACCTTTTTTTAAAAAAAGAAAAGCAATGTTTTCAGCCCTTTTGGTTGGAAATATGTGTTTAAAAGTTTATAGAGAATGTGTGCTGAATTTTAGAATCTAGAGAGAAAAGCTGAGTAAGACTTCTATTACTTCTCAGTGCAATTGTCTCTTTCTAGATTGGCAAAGGGGGGAGAGGAAAAAAATAAAATATGCAATAGTAATTCTGTACTACTAACATCTGTACCACAGACCCTTTTGTCAAACTAGTATTTCATTTCAACCATTATTATTTTTTCACTTGCTGAATGTATCATGCTAGAATAGGCTCGTTTACTCATTCTTTGCTTGTTTGCTTGCAGTAAACACAGTTCTGTCTATGCTATTACATGCCAAGGTAAACACTATTATGAAAAATTCAGGACAATATGTCTATAATCCCAAGAAATGTTAATTTTGGTTCTAGGCTTTGTATCAGGATCTCAGCTAATGTGAGATAGAAACAAGGTTAAGGTAGAGGTCTAATCTCTAGGTCCATTAAATCAGCCTGACACAACTCAGAATTAATGAAGACATATGAGAATGTTTGCATTGGAAGGAGACAGAGATAACAAAAGGGGAAGGGTCAAGCCCATTAGTAGAAAATAACATTTTAATTCAGGCTGCATTTCAGAAACTTAGCCTGTTCCCACTGCATACACAGTTGACTAACTTGCTGATAAACAGTCACCCTATTGAAAAACAGAGCGAAGAGTAGGAGTAACTCCCCAATATTAAAATGGATTTCCCTGGCTTTTCCTTGTTTAAGACTGAAAAGAAGCAAGAAGGGGGGGGGGGGGGGAGAGAGAAAAAAGGGGATTCTTTTAAAAAAGAAGTATTTTGTCAACAACTCACCTGGAATTTTTTCTTTGCCACAAAATACTGCATACGGCGTATCACTTTAATGGCAGAACGGTGATGTTCTTTCAAACTGCAAAGAAAAAAAGAAAGGTCACAAAGGCAAAACTAAACCATGTATAAATTATTTATTATTTATGCTACAACTGAACATCTTTCACAATATTAAGTCATGAAAAAAATATATATAACATTCTGGCCCGCTTAATTTTCCCTCCTGTTTTTCAAGTCACCATCGGTTACACTGAAAGGGTAGGGATTTTAGATGACTGTTGGTTGAGGTGAAGGCCTGGGGTGCAGCCAAAGCTAATATTCTTTCCATGATGCATTAGCCAAGTATCTGAAAGCTCTAAAGAAAAGGGCACATTGATTTCACTGGAATCACAATACTCCACAAAGCTAAGAATATAAAACCAGCCATTACAAGAAATAACATATCGGCACAGTACCAGATAGATAAAAAAAGTATATTTTGAGAATATGCCATTACCACTAATCCCAGTTGGATCACTAGAACAATTAATTTAAAAATTTGGTTTAATAGGGATGCCTCCATTTTGTGCCACATGCCAATCTGCTCCAGTCCTCAAGTGAATTATTGTTTGGCACCAAGTATGGAATCATATTATTAAAAAAAATCCCTATCATACCTGTTCTAACAAAAGGGAACTGTCTTTGCACGGTCCTCTAATATGCATTTGGCTGGATGTGTGTCAAGCAAGACTGTTCTATTCATTCAAAGTAATAACCTTTGCTTCACTAAAGTCAATTTAATCCTGATGAAAGACAAGAGAAAGGCACCTACCTATTAAAGATACCAAATCACAGTAGCAACCCTGTGCAAATGTTCTTGGTTCTGTTACTGAGTAAGGATAGCAATAGCAATAGCACTTAGACTTATATACGCTTCACAATGCTTTACAGCCCTCTCTAAGCGGTTTACAGAGTCAGCATATTCCCCCCGCCAACAATCCGGGTCCTCATTTTATCACCTTGGAAGGATGGAAGGCTGAGTCAATCTTGAGAGCCGGTCAAGACTGAGGGAATTGACCTCCTGGCAATGTGAGCAGAGTTAGCCTGCAATACTGCATCCTAACCACTGTACCACCATGGCTCTTAGATAGTTTAGTAACGTTCAAATGAGTTGAAGGAATACCCAATTCAATGTTATTTAGACCAACCCTTCTCTTCCTTCTCTAATGGCTGAGTTTTAACTACTGCTCCAGAAGCATCCACTGACTTTGTCCATTACCAATGCATTTTCCATATCTGTTCATTTATCATACTTCCTAGTCCCCACACATCTGCCACTGAATCTACCAAAACTCTAAGTAGTCTAGTCTTTTCACAAGTTTTTCTATTAATGGAGGAACTCCATCTACACAAGGCGGGGGCGGGGCTTGACTAAAGTGAGTGTGCAAGTGAATAATTCCTCACAAAATAATTTATTTAAAAATGTTTTCTCAGTTTTTCTCAGTACATATGGATTTTAATGCAAGCACAGGCATAACAACTACAGAGAAGATACCCTAGTTGTTTATATTCATAGAAGCCAAGTCAATGCTTAACTCTCTGGATGCAGAAACTAGCATTTTTTTCAACTAAAACAAACGGCATGCATGCAAACTGGTTGCTTATGCATTTGAATAACGAGCCCCAGACAAAATCAACTTAATGCTTAGAAACAATGGAAATATAGTTTAGAAAATCTTGACTTGTTCATAAACTTAAGGCTAAAATGAGCTTTTAAGGCATTATCAAAGAAATAATTTGAGTCTAATTTTAGAAAAAAAAAAATAGAAAAATTTCCACAAAATTAAATATTAATTTTGTCTCAGCTTATTTAATATGCATAGTGCTTGACTTACAACCACAATTGAGCCCAAAATTTCTGTTGTTAAACAAAGCAGCTGTTAAGTGACTTTTGCCCCATTTTATGGACCTTTCTTGCCACGTTTGTTAAGTGAATCACTGCAGTTGTTAAGTTAATAATATGGTTGTTAGGTGAATCTGGCTTTCCCACTGACTGTGTAGAGGGTTACAAAAGGTGATCACATGCAATTGTCATAAATATGAGTCAGTTGCCAAGCACATGAAGTTTGATCATGTGACCATGGGGATGCCGCAATGGTCATAAATGTGAAAAACAGTCATAAGTCACTTTTTCCAGTCCTGTTATAACTTTGAATGGTCACTAAATGAACTATTGTAAATTGAGGACTAGCTGTAAGGGAGGAATGAACCAACAGACATCTTTAGTTTAAAAGGAATAATTGGGATAGCACGGAGTTTAAGTTATTTTACTACTGGAAGAGCTAAATAGCAGATTATTTACTTGAGTCAAGTAGACATACACAAACATAAAATAAGAGGTTAAAAGTGGTTTTTGTTTCTCCTTCTCTTTAAAATGGCACATATTATATATATTTATGTTTATATCAGGGGTGTCAAACTGACAGCCAGATGCATCATGCACAGGCCATGCCCACTCTAGCTCCGCACAAGGGAAAAACATCACGAAATGTCATGTGACAGCAATGTCATGCTGCGAGTTTGACACCTGTGCTTTATATGCATTTGTTTTTTCATCCTTGAGTGAATGCAGTTGATCTGTGCCACCTGGATTCCTTATGCAATGCAATGCAGATTTGAGACGGCTAAGGTGTAATGCCTAGAAGTTAAACTAGTAAATAAAATATAGAGGGGGAAAAAAGGATTAGAAGGATGAAGAAGTTTTATTTACTGATTCCTTGCGAATTTTTGCCTCTAAACATAAACAAAATTAAAGCATTTTTTCTCAATACAATACTAATTAATATTTAATAAAATTAAACAGAACCCAAGTCAATGAATGCTTGGTTAATGTCTAAAACAACAGCTTCCTTGAGGATACAAGTACAGAATTGTTGAATAGCAGTCTATTTTAAAATAGTTAGTGCATAATCTTGCTATTCAGCCTGTTCTTTCACCAAGTTTTATTTAAGCAGTTTATCTTATTGAGATTAAGATCTCTTTTATAAAGAAATACCTGGTAAAAGCAGGCCTCTGGTTTTGAATGTCAGGCTATATTTCAGTGAAGGAGGGGGAAAGAGGGCTTTTAATAGCAGAATGCTTTCTCAGTGTAATCTTTATCAGGCAACTGGAGAACTAATGCCAACACATTAGAGATAATTCCTCTAGCACTATGGATCATCCAAAGACAGTTTGTTTATTGTCTTGAAGGCTCCCATTCTATTATCCTGCATTTTTATCTCGGTTTTTTCAGTTGGGCCTCCTTTAACATGATGTATTGACAGATACAAGGGATATGCATGTTTTTAAATAAAACATTTATGGCAAATTATACAAGGCATGCATATCATGCAACTGGAGCCCAACAGCCCTTTAGGGAGGCAAACTTGTAAGATAAGGGAGATGTGAGGGGTATTGTTGTAACAGGGGAAGTGCAGGTAGGGAAAAAAAAACCATGCCCATCATTCTCTCTCCCACATCACTCCAGCTCTGCCAGAGATTTCTCCTCAAGAGGGAAGGAGTGATGACAGCTATACATGTTTGCAGTTAGGAAAATGTTTACAGCCATCCTAAAATTATGATATAAGCACTTTTTTTTGACCTGCTTGTATTCTCAACCTTGTATTCTTTGACATGCTTGTATTCTCAACCTTGACCCAATACTCTTGTATTGTACTGGTGCTTGCAACCTGTTTTGATAACTGAGGACCAGCTGATCTAAATCAAGGAAGAGATTTTTATATGGGATTTCTATATATTTACATCACTTTTGGTTATGTGAATCAGATTTATGTGATCTTGCCTTGAATGAGTAAGGAGGGGACATTTAAAATGGGCAGATTTGTTTATGGATCAGAACTTTGTTAATGAAGGGACTGCAGTAAATGTAACATATATTGAATTTATTTGTTTATCTATCTGAAATGACTTATAGAACATTTCATTGTGTGACTAATAACTACTACTGAAATAGTTACGAATCTACAAGTAGATACCAGGGAGGTTATGATAACTAAGAGCTAGCAGCTTATATTGGATTCTGGCTTAAATAGGAAGCCAATGAAGACCATTATAAGGAGACATGCAAATACTGTGGAAAGTCCAGAATGAACCTAAAAGCACTGTTGTACACCAGATCAGGAAATAGAAAGAAGAATTGAGGATTGCTGCCAGGGGACCATTACAATAATCGAGGCATTATATAGTAAGGCATACACCAACCATATTTTCTGTCTCTGTGGCAGTCTTTTAAAATATAGTCACCAAGTAAAAATTAGCAACCTTAGCTGTAGAATCAGGAAACAGGTTCAAACTCAACTGCTCAAGGGGATATAATGGAATATAATATATGAAAAATTATCCACAGTTTATTGAATGTCATTCTCTTATATTGAATGTCATTCTCTTAAGACAGGGATAAATTAAAATGTGGGAGTAGAGGAAGATAAAGGGAATGATGGAAGATGGCTCATTGGAGGAAATCTACTGTGAAGGAAACTCCCAACACATTAGAGTAGATTTAATGGATGCATAGGAATTACAGGGAAAGGAAGAATCTGCCTCAGTAGCAGGTTTAATTCCAGGAGATTGGGGGTGTTGTGTCAAACTCAGGTTGTCACGGCAGCATTATGTGATGCATTGGGACTTTCTCCCCAGTTGCTAAACTGGGCGTGGCCGGCATGTGACTGCAGTAGATGGGCTAATTTGGGTAGGTTCTCCTGCCATAATTCCACAGATTCTATTGCCTGAATTGATTTATCACACTGAAAAACACAAAACTCACAATCATACAAAACCCATATCCTCTGAAAGGGGCCTCAGTGAATTAGGGAACTCTTCTAAGGAGTTTTTGTGAGCAGCAGGTAGGTGAAAAACCAGTACTTCTACAAGCAGAAGTGCTTATTCCTCATAGAATATACAAACTTACATAGAAAATCCTTGATTTACAACAAGCCATTTAGCTATTGTTCAAAGTTACAGTGTACAAGATGACTTATGACTGATCTTTGCACTTATATAACCACTGCAGCATCCCCATAACCAGTTGACCAATTCTGATGC